GATACTGACACATGAGCAACGTGATGAGTCTCCAAGACATGCCGTGTGAACAAAGCCAGACACAAAAGAGCATCCTGTGTAATTCTATTATGTGAAACTCTGGAAAAGTCAAATCTAATCTACAGTGATGCAAAGCAGATCAGCGGCTGCCCGGGCCAGGAATGGGAGGTAGATTGGGAAAGGTCAGGAGGGAACTTTCTGGAAAGTTCTATATCTCAACAGTGGTGGTGGGTACTCAGATGTATCCATTTACCAAGGCTCATCAAATGCTCCACTTGAAATGAGTACACTTTATTGCATGTAAACTATACCTCAATAAAGTTTATTTTAAATAATTTAAAAAACTGTCCTTGGAAGTATTTTTATAAAACAAAAGGGGAAGGGGTGTCTTTTAATCAGACTTCAGACATTTTGTTTTAGATCTTGAAAAAATAACCTTTAACCTTGAAAATGTCTGTTATTCTAATTGGTTGTTGTGTTTGATAATTTTTGCCCTGGTATTGATATTAAAATAGCAATTAAAATATCAAGTGACATCTCTCTATTCCTAAAAGATATAGATATCTGTATTTATTTATTTATTTTTTTTTTTTGAGACAGAGTCCTACTCTGTTGCCCGGGCTAGAGTGAGTGCCGTGGCATCAGTCTAGCTCACAGCAACCTCAAACTCCTGGGCTCAAGTAATCCTTCTGCCTCAGCCTCCTGAGTAGCTGGGACTGCAGGCATGTGCCACCATGCCCGGCTCATTTTTTCTTTATATTTTTATTTGGCCAATTAATTTTTTTGTATTTTTAGTAGAGACGGGGGTCTCACTCTTGCTCAGGCTGGTCTCAACTCCTGACCTTGAGCGATCTGCCCACCTCGGCCTCCCAGACTGCTAGGATTATAGGCGTGAGCCACAGCACCCGGCCTGTATTTATACATATATATTTATATATGTATAAATATACATATAAATATATATGTATAATATATACATATATATGTATAAATATATATATATACACATATATATATGTCCTTCATGTCAACATGAAGGACAGAAATTAGCAGCTCCCTTTTCTCTATATACATGTGAATGTATAATCAAATCCATGACTCTCTTAATTCCTTATTCAAATGTGAGTTTGAGAGTTTTTGAAAGGCATTATTACAGAGTGATTAAGAGTGATAACATAAACTCAGAACCAGAATGATTAGGTTCAAATCCCAGCTATACCCCTGACTAGCTCTGTGGTATCAGAAAAGTTATTTAACTTTTAAATAAGAAAAGTTATTTAGCCTCAGTTACCACACTGGGAAAATGGGAATAATAACAGTATCTACTTTATTGGGTTGTTGAGAGAAGTAAATGAGTTAATAACGTGTAAGGTGCCCAGGTGAGGACCTGGCCTGTAGTGTATCAGGATAGGCTGGTCAGGCTGCGGTAACAAACAACTCCAAAATCTCAGTTGTTTGAAACAATAGAGGTTTATTTCTGGCTCACGCTACACATCCATCACAGATTGGAAGGGGGCTTTGACCACCCTAAGTCACTCTGGGATCCAGGCTGACAGATGCTCAATTTCAACACATATGTCCACAGTCACAGCAGCAGGAAAGGGGGAAGTGGCAGCAGGCATTGGCTCGGAACATTTTTGCTGTTTACGTTTCACTGGCCCAAACGGTCACATGGTAACACCTGACTTCAAAGGGGCAAAGACCTGCTGCCATTCCACCTTGTGCCTAGAAAGGGAGAGCACCAGAAAGACTTGGTGGACAGCACTGATGACTACCACAATTGGCTAATAGAATTTAATTTTGAAAGTGGGTGGAGGAGAACTCAACGAGGAGGCAACTTGGTGCTGAGGCTTGAATGACAAAGAAGGGGGGACCGGCGGGGCCACCTGTGCCAAGTTCCTAAGGCAGGAATGGGATTGAGACACTCGAGGAACAGAAGAATGGCCCGAATGTTTGGAGACTGGAGATGAGAATGCTAATTGGGCGGGCCTGGCCCTGTAGGCCATGGTGAGGAGTTTGAATCTGATTTCAAGTGTATTGGGAAGCCACGGAGGGTTTTAACCAGGGGATGTAGTATAATTTTTATAAAGACAATTTGCTCTGATTGCTCTTGGGTGATGGGCAAGAGTGGAAAAAATGAGATCAGCTAAGAGACTGATCCAGTGGTCCAGGTGGGAGATGCCGGAGCCTGGACCAAGGCAGCTGCAATAGAGGTGGGAAGGTGTAAGCACAGTCAAGTTCAAGGTTAATTTTGTAAGTAGAGCCAATGGCCTGGCTGTGGAGGGAAAAGAAGGAATCAGGACTCTTGGGCTTCTGCCTGAGAAGCTGAGAGGTTGCTGAGATTGAAATTTCTACCAGAGTGGAAACTGGGTGGCCATGGGGTTCTCTGAATCAAGAGTTTTGGCTTGTTCATGTTAATTTTGAGATGCTCTTGGGTTTTTAAGGCTGGATATCAGGTAGTACTTCAATACATGAACGTAGAGGTCAGTGGAGTAGATATGGCTGGAGTTATAAACTTGGGGGTTGTATTAGTTATCGATTGCTGCATAACAAATTACCCCAAACTCAGTGGCCTAAAACAACAGACATTTATTATGTCACAGTTTCTCTTGGTCAGGAGTTTGACAGCAGCTTAGCTGGGTAGTTCTGGTTCTTGAGGTGGCAGTCACCTGGAGAATGCACTGCCGAGGTAGCTCACCCACACGGCTGTTGGCAGGAGACCTGGGTTTGTCACCATGTGCCATTCAGAGGCTGCTTGAGTGTCCTCAGGGCATGGCAGCCAGCTTCCCCCAGAGCAAGCACTCTGAGAGAGAGCAAGAGGCAGAAACCACGCTATGATCTAGTCTTGGAAGCAACACACCATCCCTTCTACTACATTCTCTTGGTCACACAGACCAATCCTGATACAACTGCACAAGGGATTTCACAAGGGATTGCACCAGGACGTGAATCTCAGGATGTGGCAATCCTAAGCATGTGGATAGTATATAAAGCCATGGGAATGGGTGAGATAATTTGGTGGGGGAGGAATATAGACAGAGAAGCCTGGGTCACTCCCAGGATCAAGTGGAAGAGAAGGCACCAGCAGAGAAAGTGGAGAAGTGGCCAGTGAGGCAGGAGGGAAACCCAGAGCCTGTGGCTCCATAGCAGCCTTGGGGGAGTGTTTCTAGAAGGAACAGCAAATATCCAAGTGAAGGGCTTCAGGGGATTCAGGAGAGGAGGATTGCAAAGTAGTTTGGATCCAACAACACACAAGTAACAGGTGGCCTTGCCAAGAGCAGTTTCCATGGGGTGTTGTAGAGTAACTGATTGGAGTAGGTTGAGAGTAAACAGAATGGAAGGGTCTGGTGACACTGAAGATAGAAAATTCTTCTAACAAGCTTTGCTGTGAAGGAGGATTTGGGTTCAAGGGAGAGCATTTTCATGATGTGAGATTCTAGAAAATGTTTAAATCCTATGTAGGAACGGCCCAATTGCAGGGCAGAGGCTGGCAAGAGGGGTCACTGCAAGAGGAAAGTACCCGAGAAGGCACGAGCAGGTGGGGTTCTGAGCCCAAGGGAGGGCTGGATGTTTGTGGGGGCAGAGGCAGTTCACCCAGAGTGACAGGAAGGCGGGTAGAGCCTGTGGGGCCAGTGTGGGTGACTGGCAGGAAGGAGACAGGGCATTCCCATCTTAGATGTTCAATTTTCTTAATGAAACACAAGATGAGGGTTCGTAGTAAACATATGGACCATTAGAGTTTTATTTCCATTGGGATATAACAAGAGAATTTTGACATTTTGAAGCTTCTTCCGGTCTTTTTTTCCTCCAGTTTGCCTTTTTTGCTTCCCCTAGGATAATTTCTCCCCATCTGTTATGGACGGAATGTGTGTGTTTCTGCAAGGTTCTTATGTCGAAGCCCTAACCGTAAGTGTGGAGGTACATGGAGTAAGGAAGTAATTAAGGTTAAACGAGATCCTAAGGGTCGGGCCCTGATCTGATAGGATGAGTGTCCCTATCAGAAGGGATGCCAGGAAGCTCTCACGTGTTCGTGCTCACCCCCTCCTCTCTTGTGTGAGGACACAGTGAGGAGTCAGCCTCTGCAAGCCAGGAAGAGAGCGCTCACCGCAAACCGAATCGGCTGGAGCCTTGATCTTGCACTTCTGGCCTCTGAAACTGTGAGAAAATGAATTTCTGTTGTTTAAGCCATGCAGCCTTTGGTATTTTGTTACGGTATTTTGTCATTAGCCTGAGCGGACTAAGACACCATTATATTTGAAAAGTGATATGATTAGTAATATTACAAAAAGTACAAAATCACTCTGAAGTTAAGGCATACACAAGAGCGATTCAAACGCATTTAACAATGGCTGCTACATTGGTATTGAGCTACGTAATTATGTAATCAAGTTATTATTTTTCCACATACATTGATTTATTGGTAGATGTGTATGGGAGCTTTGTCACTGGAACACTAGTTTCTTCAGGCTATTTCACCGTGTTGATGGCAATTTTTCACACTGTTTTGCCTGGAACCACAATACTTTCCAGGACAAGATGCCTCGGGCGTGCTAAGATGCGAGTGGATACATCGCGGTGTGACTTCGCAAAAAGATACAACCACTATTTATAGTACTGGTATAGGTTTGTACCCTACAAACACAGGAATTGTAATAACTTCCAGTTCACATAATTCTCATAAAAAAGAAAATTCTGGACCAGGCATAATGGCTCATGCCTGTAATTCTAGCACTTTGGGAGGTCGAAGTAGGAAGATCGCTTGAGGTCAGGAGTTCAGGACCAGCCTGAGCAAGAGCGAGACCCTGTGTCTATGAAAAGGAGGAAAGTTAGCTGGGTGTGGTGGTGAGCAGCTGGAGTTCCAGCTACTCGGGAGGCTGAGGCAGGAGGATTGTTTGAGCCCAGGAGTTGGAGGTTGCTGTGAGCTATGATGATGCCACTGCATTCTACCCGGGGTGACAGAGTGAGAGTCTGTCTTTAAAAAAAAAAAAAGAACACAAAAAACAAGAAACAAAAAGAAAACTCTATGTGTGTATTATTGACACTATTCTGTTAGGAGTGATTATACATCATGATTAGGTTTCAACAAGAATGGAATGGAAAACTGTTTGCTTAAAATTGTATTCACCTGAAGACTGGGAGAATTTTACACACATTAACTTCAGGTTCCATACATATCAAGCCTTGTTTCTCCTCTGCCACCCATTCACTTCCGGTGAGACTAGCAGACGTTCATCCCTGGCCCTACACTGGAGAGCCGTGGGGTCAGGCGAGGAGGCTGGCCCAGCAGGTAGTAGGCACCTTCCTGGAAACCCCCGTACTCTGGATCAGCATCAATAACTTTGTGCACGGAAATGACTCAACCACTTATTTATCTCTCACTAAACCCAGCTTCCTCCAGCTCAACTTCCTCTCATCCCAGAGTCCACTCCACTGTCGTTGGACATGAAGACAGGAGAAAATTCAAAGGGAAAGACAAAGGATTATTTTAACTGTGTGAATTAAAAACATCCTACTTATTGCAAATCTTACAGGAACGTGTAGTATGCGTTTTGGTTTGGGTTCTCCCCAAAAGCAGAGCTGAGACAGGGCTTGGATGCCGACTGTTTATTTGGGAGGCGATCTGAGCATGCAGGGTGAGTGAGACAGGGAAAGAAAAAAACCCAGACGGGGTGGGTTATTGACGCCCAAACTGCAGGGAATGGAGATTGATTCCACTAGGGACTGGGGAGGCAGTGTGCAGAATGTCTCCCAGAACTTCCAGCCTGCGGGAATGGAGGTGGGAGCATGTATCCACTGGGTCCCTTCCCCTGCGGGAGCAGCTGCCCTGGGGTATTTTTCTCCCCTTTCTTCTTCTGCGCTTGCGTGGGGGCTGAGTGGGCTCCCATAGTGCTGAGAGGGCCTTTGGGTGGGAGGGGAAAATGAGCAGTGGGGACGCTGCCCAAATTCTTCTGGAACTATATCTGACAGCCAAGGTGGAAATCACAGGGGGCCGAGGGGCTGTGTCAGGAGGCAGCAGAGGTGTCTGCTTTCATCCAATCCCCGGAGGTCCAGACGTGCTCCCCACTGCCCCCATGATGCAACCTTGTGATGATTAGGGTCCATTTCTCTGGCCAGTGCAGAAACCCTTTCTTGGCTTGACAGTCCCTTGGCTGAGGAACCCAAAGTTGTAGTTCACTGAGCCCTTCCTGTGTCCGTGTGGCCTTAGAGAAAAGCTTCCCCTTACCCTGAGCCTGAGCCCGAGAACTGGGACCTCTAAATCCATCACACCTGGCTCTTTCCTTTTGGGGCACCCCCAAAGATCCTGGTGTGGCCATGGGCCCCCGCCCTGCTTGATGTTACCAGTGTTGTAAGAACAAGTCCATCCCCAAGTCTCACTTTTGCCAAGGTGTTCCTGATGCCAAAATTCTCATCTTCGACCTGGGGTGGAAGAAAGCAAAAGTGGGTGAGTGAGTTCCCACACTGTGGCCACATGGTGTCAGAGGAATGTGGTCGGCTCTCCCCTGGAGCCCTGCAGGCTGCCCTTACTGTGCCAACATGGTGAGAATCTCTGGATGGATTTCCTACCTGAGCAGCCCACCCTGACCACATCATCCACATGGAGACGCTGTCCTGGGCAGGCTGACAGGTTCCAGACAGGCACTCGAGGTGTGTGGTGCTTTGGGAAATCCCCAGGGCACCGTGGCCAAGGCTCACTCTGGCCAAGTTGTCATGTCCATCCACACCAAGCTGCAGAGCAAGGAGTGTGTGACTGAGGCCCTACACAGGGCCAAGTTCAAGGCTCCTGGCCACCAGAAGAAAGTGCGATTTTATCAAGTTCAATGCTGGTGAATCTGAAGACATGGTGGCTAACAGGCAGTTCACCCCTGATGGCAATGGGGTCCAATGCAGCCCCGATCATGGCCACCCACACAAGTGGCAGTCCCTGTGCTGGTGAGGGCTTCCACTGTGTTGCCCCTCCTTACGCCCCCCAATAGGTCCTACTTCCTGTCCATCTAAAATAAAACAAAATAAATCCCAGGCTGGAAACACAAACTCTAAAAATGGATCACTAGAAGAGGTGATGAGCGAAGCCCTTTCTAATTCTACTCCCTTTGACACCCGGACTGTGTGACCCAGCCTCCAGGGACCGCCAGCTATCAGCACATACCATGTCCTGCAGGGCAGTGTGGTCCCCAGGCTGGTGCCTTCACTGAGCCTTTCAAGGCTCAGTTTCCCTTTTCCTAACAGCCTGCCCACTTCTGGATGATGCTGGACCAATGGATTCTGCTGTCATGTGGCCATTGTCACACCCCTTTCATTATAAAATGGGTCCTTTGATTTAAGATGATAAAATGCCAGATCTTATTTTTTAAACTCAGACTCCGTAAGTCCGCAGTTACTGATGCTGGTGGAGACACTTCGGGCAGAGAAGCAGGCCCATATTCAGAGTCGATATCAGTGGGAAACCCTAATCAGTGGTCCCTCCGGCGTGGGAGCAGCGTTGCCAGATGTGATATATGTTGATTAGGGAATCCACAAGGAACCACAAGTGCTGTGCTCTTCTTGGTGCCAGGAAGACCAATGTGTAATAACTTGCCATTTATCTTAGAGGGGACATGCTGGTGTGGTCCAGACCACTGGACCTCGGGAAACTTCACTGATGTAGCAGCCCCCTGAGTCCTTGTGGGGATAATTTCCCACCCTCTGTCACACATGTGCCTTAGTAGAGCACCTACTGTAGACTGTATGTGACACCTGATATGTCACCACCGATGTGGCCAATGTGTTCTTTTCAATCCCCAACAACAAACAGGACCAGAAGCAGTTCATAATTACAAGACAGAGACGGTAGCACACATCCACTATCTAGCCCTAGAGCTACAGTTACCCACCCACACTCTGTCACATACAGTCTACAGGGACCTTGGCCTTCCACAGAGTGTCAGCCCAGCCTCCTGTAGCAATGGTATCATGCTAATCAGCTGGGTGAGCAGGAAGTGACGAGTACTTTAGGTGCTCTACTAAGGCACATGTGTGACAGAGGGTGGGAAATTATTCCCACAAGGACTCAGGGGGCTGCTACATCAGTACATATGAGCCTGCCCCCGTGGAGCTGTGTTTTCCTGTCCATGCTGTGCTGAGGTCTGGAGGCCAGCTGGGGAGGAGGGTTTAGATCTGGGGGAGGGTGGGAACAACTTGTAAGGCATGCTCCCCAGGCAAGATCTGCACCTGTGGTTTCTCTGTCAGGAGGGGGCTACCCTCAAGGAGGTAGGGCTTCTTTTGCTGGTCAGAGGGTTCAGGTAAATCTGGAGCTTCAAGATTTTCAGGCTCTAACACCCAAATGTCCACATCCCAGATCCCAGGGTCTCACTCCTTCCCTATCAGGGCCCCGACTCTAGCAACTCTGGCACCTTACGGTTAAATACTGGGCTCAATTTTCAATTCAGTCTTCCTTGCAGTTGCAGGAGGTGAAGGTCCCTTTAAACAGTACCAAGGGGTCTCCTGGCTTTCACACCACACCCTGTACTGCAAGTCGATTGAATGGAGCCTGCCATTCTTTTCCTTTAGAATTTCCTGGGCATTTAGCAAATCACTCTGCAATCCTTGTAATTACCCTTACTCATATTTCATTGTTACTCATGTTTCATTGTTACTCATATTTCAGTGTTTCTCCTTCTACATGTACTTCATCTGAATTCACAACAAGTAGGAGTCTTAGAAATGATAATGCCACAGCACTGCAAGTATTATCACCCTCTACTTACTAGAGTAACAGTGGGGTCCTTGTGGCTGAGTGATTGGAAAGATTCTAGTTCCAGAATCCCATCCTGAGGGTTGGTTTTCTTCAGCCACTACCAGTTCTCTTGAAAGCAGAGCCCAAGATAAAGATCTATTAGACACAGCATTTATTTGAGAAGTGGTCCCAGGAATCAGGAAGAGTAAGACAGGTGCTGTCACCTGAATTTTGGTGTCCCCCGACCTTCTGCAAATTCACATGTTGGAATCTAATGTCTAATATGTTAATGTTAAGAGGTGGGGCCTTTAGGAGGTGATTAGGTCACGAGGGCTCTGCCCTCATGAATGGGATTAATGCTCTTGTAAAAGAGGCTTGAGGGGGCCTGTTGGCCTCTTTTGCCATGTGAAGGCACAGCTAGAAGGTGCCATCTATGAGGAATGGGCCCTTGCCAGACATGGATTCTGCCAGCACCTAGATCTTGGACTTCCCAGCCTCCAGAACTGTGAGCAATAAATTGCTATTGTTTGTAAATTTCCCAGTCTAAGGTATTTTTGTTATAGCAGCCTGAAGGGACTAAGAAAACAGAGTAGGGGGGAAACCCAATATCAGGATGCAGTATCAAAGTCAGGCTTTGCACAGCAACTCCCAGGGTTGCCTGCCTGAAGGAGGATAGGCTGAAGCACTCAGCCAGTGGCTCCTATCTCCTCTGGGTGAAGCTGTCCCTGTCCCTGAGTTATTAGTACCCATTTCACTCCCGCTTCTCAGCAAAAGCAGAGTTTGGCAGTTTAGAGTACATTTGGGTGCAATGCTGTCAGGGTTACTCTGCTTCTGCAGGAGACTGACATTTGTCTGGATCAAGGAATGTCTACTCAAGTCACCCCCCCCCCAACACACATGAGTTTGTCTCCTTTTCCTTGATCTTCCCACCGCTCACCCTCAGGAGTCTCAGCTCTTAGTCCTCATCCTCCCACCATTGATCCCGCTCTCTGGAATCCCATGAGTAGGGTGGAGGGCAGGTGCTTGGGAAGCTCTAGTCTCACCAGGGGCTTTATCAGGGTATTGCTGAGTTTTTAAAGGGCATGTTCCTGTGTCTATTGCCACACTGCCATAACCTAGAATGAAGAGGAAAAATGCCATATTTAGCAATTTGCAGACAGAAGGAAATGACCTGAGGGCTCAACCCAGGTTAGAGGGAAATTAGCCCTCTGTGAGGCCTGGAAATCTGAGTCCTTGAAATGTGTTTCTGGCAGGAACTGAGGCCGAGAGCTGGAGCAGGGAGATCGTACCCCTACTGTCCACTTAGGGCTTTTCAAGGTCAAGAAAATGAAACTCTTAGAGATAACAGGTTAGGCCACAGGTGTTTTAATTAAACAAAACAAAGGAGATGGTTGTGTTGTCAGTCTTCTCTCCAAAGGGGCAATTATGTGCTGTGAGTTTATTTCCCTTTCTGTTAGTTTGTTTTCCTTTGTTAGATAGGTTATTAGTAGGTCCACCTTTCAGGAAGTGAAGAAAACATGTTTCAACTGAGTATCAAGAATGAGAAGTTTAAGAGGATAAGATGAGATAAGTAGTCAGAGATAAGAAGGAAGGGCTTCCAGGCAGAAGGGGAAAGCACCAGCCAAGGCAGAGGCATTTGTAGTATGGTATATTCAAGACCCAAGATCTGGGAGGGTGGGGGCAACAGATCATGAGGAACCATGATAAGGAATTTGGATTCATCCTTGAGGAGATGGGGACCTGCTTATTCCTTCCCTTCATGTCTTGTACTCAAAATGTTGGGGATTCTGGTAAGGGGGGTGTTGAAAAATTTAAAATAAAATAAAGAAGTGCTGGGGCATCTCAGAGCTCATCTTTGGACCAGTTCTCTGCCTGCACTCCCTCCTTTGGTGACTTCGTCTGTTCCCCACACTGACAGCTCCCCAGTTTATACAATATCAACACTCACATGTGAACAAGGCTGTACAATTAGAGAGACCAGGGCCTGGTTCTTAGGGTCATGAATTCAGAAAGTAAATTTTATTAGTTCTCTACCCTTCTCCCCTATAAGACAGTGGAAAATCTACCTGTACTAATTATATATATGTAAGGACTGACCAGTAAATGAAATATCAATTTATTAATTTATAGGAGCAGATCTTTGTTTTTTCCTGTTTGCTTTCTGTTTTTAAAAAGCATTTATTGGTTTGATTCTGGCTGTAAAAATAATGCATGTTCATTATAAAAAATTTGTAAAAAACAGAAAAATATTAAAAACAATGGAAGTCATATAATGTCAAAAATAACACTTCACATGTATCTATATACGTCTGTGTGGATATAATTTTAACAATATTGGGATCATACTTGTCAATCTGAAATAATCAAAAGGATCAGAATCCAGTTAAAAGAGTTTATTCAAGCGCAAAGCTGAGAATGTTGGCATTCTGGTAACACAGAGTACTAAGAAGGGGGTTAGTGCTCCAAACCTGAAAAGTTAGGCAGAAAAAGAAATTTAACAGGATTATAACAGAATAAATGGCTTAGGAAAACAACAAAAATGTTTTATGTCTCTTTAAAGCATCCCCTAGGATGTTTTGGAGAACTAGGACCTGCATCCCTGTCTCAGGCCAGTGGTTAGGAGGAACAGGGGAATGTCTTTTATTCTTTGTGCCACAGGAGATGGCTCAAGGAATTGTCTGGGTGGAGGTCACAAGATTGAGATCGGTTTAGCTGAAGATGGGATTAATCCCGGTGGAAGTAACAAGATTGTCTTAGCCGAAGATGAGATTGATCAGAACCTTTAAATGCTCTGTACTTCTGCTCAGAAGCAAGAGGTTGGTACTTTGAGATGGGAGTCTGCCAACCTTCTAATTTCCCAGCAAATTAATAAACTCCTCTTTCTTTCTCCTCAAACCACTTGTCCCTGCTCTTCTGATGTGGCCTCAGGGACAAGTGCAGAACTTTCGGTAACAGGATTACAACATTTTTCACACAGGGCTGGTTTATGAATTACAGCAATTTGAGTATTTACAGCTGCTTTTTTTTTTTTTCTTTCACTTTTTCAAATTTAAAAGAGTATATATTTAACAGCCCATTTTAGACAATATAAGAGGTTTCATGTAAGTATGAGGAAAGTTAATCTATAACGAAGATGAACAGCAAAGAAGGAAGTGGTCTTCTCTGGCATTGCTTTAGTCTTTTACAACATTTTACAAAATAATGTAGGTAAAGAAAAGGCTAATCTATAATTAGAGGAACAAAGGTTACCGGTTTCGAAGATTACAGCTGCCTAGGTTACAGAGGCCTGCCAAGTGACTCAGATTCCATAATCACATTTCTTTAACACTCCAAATAATTTAAAGTTCCAAAGCTTTGATTTTGAATTACTTATTTTTACTTACCATATATACATTTGTATCCTACTTTCTATTACTTTTGTTAAATTAAATTTGGCCTAAAGCTGTCTCATAAATAGTGAACTGTAACTTAAGAGTGTAAACATTTTGGAAAAAGTGTTTAGACCTTGTCCGTTTCTAAAATATTATTTATTTTTACTACACCGGGGACTCCATTTCCAGCATCAATGATGTTCCAATATCAGGGTTTGCTTTGTTGAGCATGAAATCAAACCCAAGGTATGTGTTGGGGGGGGGCACTTAATTGTAGGAACAATTGTATCCAGGCTAGGTTACCGGGACCCTAAGGCCCCTCACCCCTCCCCATCTTTATGTGCCAGAAATGCCAAGAGAGAGCCCCTGGCTCTTGGGTGGGGGTCGGGCCCGGAGACCCAGGGTCAAGGCTATGGCCTTGCCCTGTGCCAATACACAAGGAAGCTTCACTTGGACCTGACCAATGTTCGGCCGCAGTAAGCGAGTGGAGGCGCTCCTTGAAGAAACAGGGAGGCCAGTCATTTTGGGGTTCTGCCCTGGCCTGAGGCCCCGTATGGGCCGCACTGGGCGGGGGCACACCCAGGTGGGAAGGGCAGTGACCGCGGCGGGTGGAGCCTGGCAAGGAGCCCTGGGCCTCACTCAGGCGGGCGGCCAGGGCACCTCGGCTCTTCAGGGCTGAGGTTGAGGGGTGAGGGCCCTCGTTCCCCAGAGGCCCAGTCTCTTGGAGTCCTGAGGGCCCTCCAGGAAGCGTCTGTTCTCACGGGGCTTCCCGAGGCCGGGCACTTGCCCTCGACCAAGATGGCGCGGGCGGCCTCGGGAGAGGCACGTGACCCCGCCCTGGCCCGCCAAGCGGCTGCGACCGAGCGGTAGCGCCAGAACCATGGCCCCGGGGCAGGCGGGCGCGTGGGCCGCGCTCGGCCCGCTGCTGTGGGGCTGCGCGCTGGCGCTGCAGGGCGGGATGCTGTACCCCCGGGAGAGCCCGTCGCGGGAGCGCAAGGAGCTGGACGGCCTCTGGAGCTTCCGCGCCGACTTCTCCGACAACCGGCGCCAGGGCTTCGAGCGGCAGTGGTACCGGCGGCCGCTGCGCGAGGTGCGGCTGCGGGGGCAGGGCGCGGGGCTTGGGGCCGGGAAGCTCCCGGAGCCGGAGCCGGGCGGCTGGAGCCAGGAGTCCGGCGACCGCAGACTCCTTCCCTGCGTCCCCAGGAGCTGCCGGCCGGCGCGACGTTGAAGAGTAACGGGCTGGGAGGCGTGGGGCTAGGGGACCGGGAGAGGGACGAGGAGCGGGAAGTGGGAGGCGGGCAGGGTCCTGGACGGGCTGTTCATGCGCTGGGGTGCTGCGGAGCCCCCTCGGGGCGGGAGAGCCCGAGCTCTGACCTTCCGGCAGTGTCAGCCACACACAGCTAGGGCGGGGAGGTGGCGGGGGTCAGGAAGAGGGGACGGTTTGGATATGTTGGGGTCAGCTGTGGCCAGGCAGGAAGGACCCTGGGTTCCAAGGTTCAGCTAGAGGATGGGACGTGGCACCCAGCCATAGAAGGACCCCACACCAGCTTCCCTCCTGATTTGGGTCGGGTTGGCAGAGGAGTAGGACTGGGCGAGGCCTCTGTGCCCATCTGGGGCTTGCATCTCCTAGGTCCCTTCTGTCTCACTTTGCTGCCCAGCAAAGAAGGAGTTGAGCACAGAGTAGAGCAGGGGGATGGGTGCCACAGGTGCCCCAACAGTTTCCTCAAAATGGGGGCCTGCCCCCTGCCAGCCTTCCTCCCTAGACAGACAGTTGGTCATCTGCTTCTTAGTCAGGGTCTGGCCCTTCTAGCTTCAGACTGGGATGTGGCCCTAGGCTCACCCTGTCCATGGAGATCTTGGCCCTGTGCCATTTGCCATGAGGAAGAAGTTCTGGCCTGGCTGGTGGCTCACACCTGTAACCCTAGCAGCCTAGGAGGTCAAGGCGGGATCACTTGAGGCCATCCTGAGCAAGAGCGAGACCCTGTCTCTACCAAAAATAGAAAAATTAGCCAGGCATGGTGGTGCACCTGTAGTCCCAGCTACTCCGGTGGCTGAGGCAAGAGGATCTCTTGAGCCCAGGGGTTTGAGGTTGCTGTGAGCTATGATGATGACACTGCACTCCACCCAGGGCAACCAAGACTCTGTGTCTAAAAAATAAAAGAGAAGTTCTGGCCCCATGGGTACAAACCATCGTGGCAGTTGACCTGCCATCAGCAAGTTACCCATCCATTCCACTAATATTTATAGAGTCCCTACTGTGTGTCAGGCTTGAGTCAGAAGCCAGCATACACCTATGAAGGACACTGATCCTAGGTTCATAGGGGGTATGGACATGACCTAGGCCCTTCTTCCCCCAGTCGGGCCCCACCCTGGACATGCCGGTTCCCTCCAGCTTCAATGACATGGGCCAGGATGCGCAGCTGCGGGACTTCATCGGCTGGGTGTGGTACGAGCGAGAGGTGGCCCTGCCCCAGCGATGGAGCCAGGACCTCGACACGAGAGTGGTGCTGAGGATTGGCAGCGCCCACTACTACGCCATCGTGGTTAGTGCAGTGGGCACAGGCAGGGCGAGTGGGCAGGCGCGGCTGCTGAGTGTGCACCGGCTGCCTTGGGGCACCTGGCTCCCAGCTACCACCTGACAGCCTGCCTCCCGGGGTGGGGACGGTGGGGGACACGCATGCCCTACCCTGGGGTCTGTGCCCCGGCTGGGGGAAAAGTTGCCTAATCTGCTCCCTCGGAGCACCATTCTTCCTGTCAGGCTGGCAAGACAGGTGGCAGCTGGCAAGTCCCTGAGCCCCCACATCCTGTAGTTTATGTGAGGGAGTGCCTGAGATGGCAGTCCCCCCACCATGCCCTAGCCTGCTGCCCCCTGCATGTCTCCCTGTGTCCGCAGTGGGTGAATGGGGTCCATGTGGCAGAGCACGAGGGGGGCCACCTCCCCTTCGAGGCTGACATCAGCAAGCTGGTCCAGAGTGGGCCCCTGGCCTCCTGCCGCATCACCATCGCCATCAACAACACGCTCACCCCCCACACCCTGCCGCCAGGGACCATCCAGTACAAGACCGATACCTCCAAGTGAGCAGTGTCTTCTTCCCCGCCCCCAGCATCTCCCTGCCTGCCCAGGGACAGGGACAGGGTGGCCTTAGCAGAGTGGAGGCCCTGGGTCTGGGGAGGCCAGGGAGACGTGTGAGCTGAGGTCGAAGGATGCAGGGCAGGGTCCCAGTTGGCCATTGTCCTCTTACTCTAGGTACCCCAAGGGCTACTTTGTCCAGGACATAAAGTTCGACTTCTTCAACTACGCGGGACTGCACCGGCCTGTGCTCCTCTACACCACACCCACTGCCTACATTGATGACATCACTGTCACCACTGGCATGGACCAAGACACTGGTGAGGACTCCTGGCAGGATCTGCCCTCAGCAGGGGCCAGAGTGGCTCTGTCCCCTCTCTGGAAAGATCCCCCAGGGAAAAGGCTCTTCCAGCATCTCCAGACCCTCACAGGTTCCCATCCATTTAAGAAGTTACAATCCAGACTGTCCGAGCTGGCCTGGCCAGGGTTTCAGTGTGGTTGACCTCACTTTGAGAAGTGGCATCGTGCCTAAAGTCACATAGCTCAGGGTGAGAGTCCTTGTCCCTCCCCATGGTGCTGCCCTCACTTAATCTCCCCCTGATGCACAATGTGCTCAAGAAACAAATGGCCTCCTCAGAGTGGTGGCTGCTGGGTGCCCCCATCTGTGTGACCCAGGTTATGGCCCTCCCTCAGTCCTGGTGTCTTGTTTCCTGCAGGGCTGGTGAATTACCAGGTTTTTGTCCAGGGCAGTGAACACTTCGAGCTGGAAGTGTGTCTTCGGGATGAGGAAGGCAAAGTCGTGGCTGAGGGGACAGGTGGCCGGGGCCAGCTGCAGGTGCCCAGTGCTAACCTCTGGTGGCCGTACCTGATGCACGAGCACCCTGCCTACCTGTACTCACTGGAGGTAATAGTGGTTTAGGACTGGTGCTAAGGGAGGCCTCTTGCTCATATCTGGCGGCCCCGGCTTCTGCAGGAGCCCAGGACAGGTGGGCAGGCAGGCCTGGGCTTCTTGATTTTTTCCATGAGGCCCAGTTTTGAGGAGCAGGCCCCAGAGGCAGGGCAGGGGAAGGTTCCCCTGGCTAATGGCAGAGGCTTAAGTTTCTGCTGCTCTGCTTGCAGGCCCAGAGCTGGGCCACTCTGGTGTACTCGGTCCTCCCTGCTAGAGGGCGGGCTTGGTGGGGCTCATGCCGGCAGGGTGCTCACGCCTGGGGCTCTGGCTCTCATAGGTGAAGCTGACTGCACAGACAGCAGCCGGGCCTGCGTCTGACTTCTACACGCTCCCTGTCGGGATTCGCACCGTGGCTGTCACTGAGAGCCAGTTCCTCATCAATGGGAAACCTTTCTATTTCCATGGCGTCAACAAGCACGAGGATGCGGATGTGAGTCTGGGCTCCTGGCTCCCTGTGGCAGCTGTTTCTAGGATCATCTCCTTTCGCCTTCCACGTGCTAGAAGCAGCTGAGGGCAGTTAAGCTGACTGCTCAAAACCACACGACAGTGGGGCTGGATAGAGGGCTGGTGGGGTGACTGTCTAGGGGCACACCTCTAAAAGGGACAGGGACGGGGGCAGGGGTCACTCTGCTCTGCTGTCCCCTAGATCCGAGGGAAGGGCTTTGACTGGTCGCTGCTGATGAAGGACTTCAACCTGCTTCGCTGGCTGGGCGCCAACTCCTTCCGCACCAGCCACTACCCCTATGCAGAGGAGGTGATGCAGCTCTGCGACCGCTATGGCATCGTGGTCATTGATGAGTGTCCCGGTGTGGGCATCGTGCTGCCGTGAGTGCCTGCCTGCCGCCTGCACTGCTCAGCCTGCCCGGCTCTTTGGGCTGTGACACTCTGCGGGCTGTGACACGCTGTCTCTCTCCCGCCTGCAGCGAGAGCTACGGCAACGTGTCTCTCCAGCACCACCTGGAGGTGATGGAGGAGCTGGTGCGCAGGGACAAGAACCACCCGGCCGTGGTGATGTGGTCTGTGGCCAATGAGCCTGCCTCCTTCCTGAAACCTGCCGGCTACTACTTCAAGTGAGTGCCCCGGCCTTGCCCAGGCTGGGGTAGGCGGGTGCTGTGAGGGGTCAGCCAGACTAGGGGGCCTGTCCCTGTGTGGGCCGTGCAGGGGCCAAATATCTCCCCACCCAAACTGTGATTTTTCAGTCCAGCCAGACCCACTGTCTCCTTTTCCCACCTGAAATGAAATCAGAATTAACATAAGCTATTTATATATGTAACTTCAAATTAAAAAAAAATCAGTGGCATGGCCTAACAGTGACAGAAAGGGGAGTCATTTATAAATGCTACCTGAGTGCATGGGCCTGACTCCCTTGAAGGCCAACACGGGTCGGAGCTGGCACGGAGAGGTGGGACCGCCCTGGGAGCACAGGGCGAGAGTGGCCTGCGGGCTCCCTGTGGGCACTCCATGCCCCATGCACAGGCGTCCTTACGTGCTGTGCAGTTCTAAATTCACGGGGAGCTGCTCCGGTAGTTCCAAACAAAACCAAGTATGATCATCCCCCAGTTTCTGTGGTATCTGCATTCCCAGGAGATTTGTCATGTGTTAAAACTGAGCAGAAGCCACTTTGCGATGCTTTGGGTTCGTCGGTACAGTGGAGTTAGGCTTTATGAGGCTGGTTTATTAAGCACATAATTATAAACAGGTTTTCCAGTGACGTCCATGTTTGAAATATTCTCAAGTTACA